TTTTTGAAAACTTTTCGGAAAAATATAAAGCAAATTTGTAATCATCTAGTTTAGATTTATTTTTCGAAATCCTGCGCGGAAATCAGACAACCGCGACTAGATCAGCTAGAAGAAAACCACGTTAATCACCTGAGATTAACGGGAGCTCCATCAGTAGGAGGAGACGACATCTGGTCGATATCTCGCTCTCGCTTCCAGCTGGACGTTGTCAGATCCAATGGAGCAGCGTCGCCGTAACCGCCGTCGTCCTGACCCGAGTCGTCCACGTCGTCCTGGACACCACGCAACCCATTGTGCGTCATCGACAACGGAGGAGAGTCCCGCTGATCGAAATTGACAACCCCTTGCTGTCCCAAAGGATACATCAGCGGCATCGTGACTGGATGATGATGATGATGCTGTTGGTGGGGGTGGTTGTGGTGATGGTGGCTGAGACTCGGCGCCGGAGAACCGAAATGCAAGAACCTATATGCGGGGTAAAAAAAAAGATATGACGAACGAATTCAAACTCAAGTTTTCGTTCTTGGCACTTTCAAAGCAGAATTTAATTTTCTAAAAAATCAGAAGATTTTAACTCTTGAATCAATTACCTATACTGTACTAATAATGAGCGTTGGCAATAACCAAAGAGGCTGACCTGTATCAAAAATACTTTCGAAAAATAACTACCGTACAGTATTTACTCAGATACATCTCAACATAAAAGTCACGCAGTAGAATAGCTAATAGGGTCATAGAAAATTTTTACACTGAACTTATGTCTGTCAACTAGTACCGGAGAGAGTTTAAATTTTTTCAAGGAAATAACTACTTGACTAAATTTAATCAACCGCAAACGGCCAAGAACCGTACTATGACATCAATGTACTGTATTCGCCAATGACATTTAATTCAGGTTGAGATTGCCCTGGAACGACCAACAATAGGATATAAACTTAAAAATATAAATTGAGTCCGTAATCAAAGTGAACAAAACCTTTTGCAGTATTTTCCAAATCCTTCTGCTATATTTTCAGTTTACGGACAGAAGCGTTGGCATCCGGGATCACATTGAAAGGCCTTTGTAAGATTTAATTGGCATCTCAAGGGTGAGTGGAGTATATTCTAAAAGCATTTCCAATTCATATGATGATTACGTTGAACATCGAAGAAGCGAGTCTTACATTTTTAGGGATTTTTTCTTTGTTCTTGAGGCAAAAAAAAGTATGTATACTTATATTAATGTATACAGTATATGTATATACCGGTACAGTATATATAGTCAAAAGTTTCTGAGAAACTCACCGATTCGGCCCAGAGTTGCCAGCCAGAGAGAGCCTGCCGGAGATCACAGCGGGGTCGCCCAGCACGGTGCGTCCTTCTCGTCGATCCCTGGCCCGGGTGTTCTGGAACCAGACCTGGACAACCCTGACGTTGAAGCCGATCTCGTCCGCGATCCGCTCCAGCTCTTCTTTCTTGGGTTTCGGGTTGCGTGTGTAGTGGGTTCGGAGCACGCGGAGCTGGTCGTCGGAGATGAGGGATCGAACCCGCACTTTCCGACCATCCGGCCCGGACATGGGCGACGAATTGGACTCGTTGCCGTCGGAGCCCTCGGAACCTGAGTCCATCCTCAAATTGTTGTTGCTGCTGTTGTTATTGGTGTTGGTGAAGGTGATGCTGAGGTTGTTGTTGCCGCCGGGCATCCCGTTGCTGTTGTTGCTGCTGCTGCTGTGTTGCGTCAAGGAGCTCCCGTTCAAGCCGTTGATTTCGCGCAGGATTTCCTCAACCCGTTCGTTGCTAGCTTCTGTACATGAAATTACAACACCGAAAAAATTAAACAAGAAAAAAAAACTGAAAGGAAATTAAAGTCTTGAAACATTCTCTTGGCAATCACACCATTGGTCAATTCTCGGAATCGCGTATTATAGTACTTTCAAAATTGAATTGCTATAAAAATGAATCACTAACGCACCCAGACTCGTAGCCGTCAGACCGATTTTGTTTGAAGCTTTCATGTCCATGCTAACAGGTGAAGATGTGGTTTCGTGTTTGACTTCGACTTTGTCGTTCTCCTTCCAATCTTGTCCATGCTGGACCTTAATGTCTGACTCAGAAAGTCTGGTTAGCGATAATTGTCGAGATTTCACCACATCTGCAATATTCAAAGGACATCATTAAAGCCATTAAAAAATTGGATACGAGCATCATTCACTCCGATTAACACTGAGACATGCAAATTTAAAATTTTCAAAGCAACTGGTACAGTATATTCTCCGATTATTATATCAGTTCTGAAAGTTTTCCTTCTTCGCCTAATTTTCTCTAGTTTTGAAGTTTTTACCGCAACAGACAATTCTTCTGGACTTTTTCATTCTTTCACATGGTCTTCATTCATTTACTCGTCCTCTTTCTTTCTCAGTCATTTCATTATTTTTAATATCTTGATATCAGGGGCAAAGAAAGGTACAGTATGAACAACTCACCAGTGTCAACGGGCAAGTCCGAGAAGGAAAACCCTGGCAATTTCCGCTTCTCCACGAACTGTGGCGCAGGCTGCTGCTGTTGGTGCTGGTGGTGGTGCTGTTGTTGCTGAAGATGGTGCTGAGTGGCCATCAGCAGCGGATGCATCGGCAACGCTGTGGCGCTCGTCGGTGGAAAGCCCGCTCCGGATCCGAAATATCGAGCGAAATCAGGTGCGGTCAGTTTTCCGCCGCTTTCGACTTGCTTTCCTGGCTTGTTGCTCCCACTAGGAGGTTGTTTGTCGCTGTTATTGTTGATGTTGTTGTTATTGGTGCTAGGATTGTTCCCTGTCGTCCCAGCAGCAGCAGCGGCGGCTTTCTGGCTCACGACCAGGCACTTTTTGGACGTCATGTGTGAGGAGTAAGAGCCCGAGTGCGAAAACCGCTTGCCGCAATTGGCGCACTCGAACGGCTTCTCTCCGCTGTGTATGCGAATGTGTTCCTGAAGAAAGAGAGAGAAAAAAACGGCAAATTTAGTTCAAGCAGAAATTCAGTACCTGTATTGGTATTGCTTTGTCAGTTTGTCTGTTACGCGCCAGCACTTCTTAGGATAGATGTCGCTTCAATACTCACGGGTATCAGCATTTTCACCAATTTCTCCACGGGGGTATGGTTCCTTTTAACTCCACCAACGCTCCAGATGTTAATGAGTCAAAATTTCTAATCTATTCGACAAATCTGGAGAAATCATACCAACACCCCGTAATTTATTATTTTGTTTTCCATTCTTTCAATCGCATTCCATCAGAGAACGGACTGCTGGTGGGTTCGCGGGATTTTTTCGAGAAGAACTGAGATGCTTTGAAAACTTTAGAACTGTAGATTACATTCAGAAATTAATTTAAAATACTGTACTATACAAAGGGAATTTCCGCCTGAACGCCCAAAATGTCACACACACGCCTCGCCTGAACAAATGACTTGACAAAACCACAACTGAACTTTACCATGTGTCAGGGATTTAGGTGGAATCTTTTTTCTATATTATTAAAAATCTCTAAATGAAGAAGACCATGCAATACGACTTACTTATTTTTATTCTTACAAAATAAAGAAATAAAAATAACCAAATGATAAATTTGAATACATTATTTGAGAAGGCAGCAGCGCAGATGCATGTTTATAGACCTCTTCGAATTTTAATGTATTATTAAGCTAAGGGGACATTTAAAAACCTCAGAGCTAGGGACATCTATACAGTGCAGTGTATTAGAGAATAAAACACTGTCAAAGGACATTGAGCAGTTTAAAGAATGTAATTATGAATAAGCTAAAACAAAGTTCATCCGGAGGAATAAAAAAACTTTATGATCGCTGTAAATGCCTGGGTTTCTAATACAGTAATTTTTAAAAATTCTCTTCTGTTACATCCGAAGGCCTGGGAACTAAGGAAATATTATTCAGGCGTAAAGAAATATGGCAAGATTCAGGGGACACCTTTACACTGCACCAGAAAAGAAAATTTCACAGTCTAAGATAATTATTGGGCATTGGAAATAATTAATGATGAACCCCAAATTCCATCAGGAGGAGAAAGCCAGAAAGTAACAGCGATGATGCATGCCTATCTGTGTTCCTGTATTTTTTCTCGTTTGGTCAACAAGAAAAAAAAAAAAAAGCCGTGCCTGGATAACGGATTACATCGCACTTCATGGAGTCTCGGAAATTCTCTTACAATAAGATTTCCTTTTCTTTCTCGCTCTTGGCTGCTCATTTCCACCCACCCAGAAAATATAGAAGAGGAACTCTTTCTCTCTCCCTCTCTTTTCACCACCCAGTCACTTTCTCTTGTTCCAAACCTTCCTCCCGTAGAGTGTGTGTTCATCCCCCCCCCACACACACACATCACGTATACATCCTGGTTCAACACTTTATTCCCGTAACTCCGACGGAAATCGCATCTCGCGGATGATGAATTGCGCCACTTTCCGCGCCTTCTTCCAACTCAATTGTTTCCCCTCGGTTTCTTCTTTTGATTTCTTCTTTTTTTTTTTCATGCGAGAGTTGTTCCGAGTTCCCCTTTCCCGAATGCTTTTTCCGCCCCGACTACTCACTTCGACTTCACCGTACGTTACATTCGAGATCAGAGCAAATATAACAAGGAGAATGGAATGCTTTCCGAGTGAGTGTGTGTGTGTTTCTTTGCTGGGATGCTCTCTTTTGTGATCATCCGAAACGACGAATGTTTTCTTCGTTTCACGTCGGCATTGTGTGATGAATTCAAGGCCGAAGTTTTGGCTCGAAAACCGCGATTCGTCGACAGAAAATATATACGTCTCTGGTTTTTTTTCTTCGAGACCAGCATGAAAGGGAGATTTTTAGATCTTGAGCACACGAGGCAAAGGGAGAACATAAATAATTCCCCATAAATCAATATCAAATAGAATGACCAGAGAACCCATTCAAGAAAAACCAGAATGAATTCATCGAAGAACTCCGGGATTCGCAGAACCCCACTTCATTCTTACTGAGATGCACTCAAAAAACGTGACTGATGAAACATGTCGCGAAAATAACATGCTTCTCGACGAATGTAATGAAAACAAGCAAAAATAATCTTCGGAAAAAATTACTCAACGGGATTTAGAATTACACAGATTCATAACACAGCTTTACATTTTTTTCTCCGACTAAAGAATACAGTATTAAGTGAGTTAGAAAACGCGTAAAAGAATTCTCCAGGGAGGTGGAAGAAGCATCTCGAAACAAATTCAGATATTCAGGACCATTACAAATGAGTGAAATTGCTTTCCAATAATCGTTAAATACTTGAATAAAAACACACATCGTTGGAATGTACAGTATTTGTAACGGAAAGAAAAGCGGGGTTAAACTGTCAAATAGTAAAGGAAAGAAGACGTGTTTCCACACGAACCTTCAAGTGGTGCTTGAATTTGAAAGCTTTCTCGCACTCGGGGCACTTGAATTTTCGCAGTGCGGCGCTTTCGTCGTGGCTGATGGTGTGTCTGTGGAGCCGGTAAACGTTGGCGAACATCTTGTTGCACACTTTGCATGACTGCAAAAATAAATAATTCAAGATAAACGTAAAGAACCGAAGGAAGGAAAATGAAGTGCCTGATATCCTGACAGCTAGAGTATGGTACAGTAGTATGTTACTCACCACTTGTCCGGAAGGCGAATGGAGCAATTCGTGCTTCCGAAGTTGATCTCGCTGCAGAAACGTCGCTCCGCATTGAATGCATGTCAGTCTCGACTGTCTCTTTTCGCCTAAAAATGCATACAGAGGAATTTATACTTTAGTGAGATTGATTCCCCAGCAACAAATTCACATCCATTTCCTATTGACATTTTACACCATAGTCGGTACCCTATTCGAAAGGTAACTAACTAAACTAACTGGCCGAGAAGATCCATGTACTTTCCACAAGGTTTCGTTAACAAAATGCACCGTAAACATCGAATGCTTCTCAGTTATGCACCTATCGTATGGTCAAGCATTTTGAACAGAGCTACTTAGTGTAGTTCCTAGACCGTGTAGAAGAACTTACAGCGAGACCAGGTCAGCTAACTTTTGACTTGAAGTTGATTCCTACGTTCGAAGAAAAAACGTTTTCTCCGAAGCAGAAATGCATCGGAGTTACGCCGAAAAAAATATTTAGGTCCTAAGTACATGTACAATGTTTTTCTGAGCAATTGTCACATGGTATTAAAAAAATTGAAGCTCATTCAATTTTTCTGTGGAAATAAGCATGTACGGGTATCATTATGAATTTGTATCATCGACGCGCGCGTTTCAATCAAATATTGTATGCCAGGAAAGGGGCCTTGAGATATCTTGATCGTTTTGAGGGACGCATAAGTTTGCCAGTTCACTACAATAAAACGCGAAAATTTTTTGAGAAGTAAAAGCATGCAAATATTCTTATCTGAACCCCAGCAATAGTGTATTTTGACAAGATGGGGAAAAGGAAAGGAGGGCTTTCTCGCGGCGCGCTTGAATTACTGTACAGTACTCGTTTTTCTCCCATGCCGCCTACCCGCTCAACAATTCAAACACACGCTTCTTTTTTCATTTAATTTTTGTCTTTCTAGTGAATCACAAAATCTCAGGGCTTTCCTCCTTCTAACTGTTATCAATATATTCCATTACCTGACTGCTTATCGCCATCAATTCCACTGCTCAGTATATCCGTGATGCCGGCCAATCCACCCTGCGGCGAAAGGGCATTGAGAGGAGATTCGGGTCCTCCGTTCAGACCCATGTTCTTCAGGTCGCCGAATGCCCGGTTGCGATGTTGCTGCCCGCCCAGGACCGACGCCGTGCCCGGCACCAATGGCGGCACAGAAAGGTGGTTCAAGTGAGATGGCGTCTGTCCGCGCACTAAAGAAGCAAGAGAAAGAAAGAATTCCACAATTGAGTCACTGGTCTCTGCATCACTGTTAACACTCGATGATGATCCGGAATAATGATTAAATAGTCCATTTCTATCGATATCCAGATTCTCAACTTCTCGCGAATTGCGTCACGTGAAAATGAGCCTCACTGTAGCTTCAGACATATTGTACCACCTACAAGAAAACTTCTCGTCTCCAGACTAGCGCATTTTGTCAATAATATGTCTCAATCTTGCGTTACGAACATACAACAGTAATCTCCGAAATAAGTAAGTTCAACTCGACTTATGTACCTAGGAATCCGCCTCAATTGCCTAATACTGTACTGCACTTTCGACTCGACAATGGTCGAAACGCTGTGTTTCAAGAGCTCATGCTTGGCAAAACTCGTCGCCGGTTCGGTTCTTAGAAAAGCCTTTTGGCTTTTCCAATCAATGCTGTTTTCCGTTCGCGGTCAGCAAGTATGTAAGTGGTTGTTATTTTCTTATCGCACTTATTCATTTATACTGTTCTTTTTTTTTACCGAATGACTCTCACAGGTCTCAGGCTTCGACCTTGCAGCGTACGTGCCTGGGCGGAATAATGAGGAGGAGGAGCATCCCAGCGGGGCCGTGGGGCACAGGGAGAAGGCAACAAATCCCGGGGTTTTTACCCCTGGCGGGCCGCACAGGTTGCCGACGAGGCACCTACCTATCCCCCCACGGGCTGCTGGCGTCTTGGGGCCGCACCCTCGAAACCCCTCCCACAAGACCCGATTTGCAAGCACGCCACTCCCGGTGACCTGAGCAGAGCTTGCGCCAAGAAAACACCCACCTTCGCTTGCCCCGTCTGCCTGCCAAAAAACATCGGAACGGCCGACCAACCGACGGTCATCGCAAAATGTAGTTTTTTTTTAAAAAGCGGTTCATTTCTTCGAGATGTGAATTCGGGGGGTAAATACCTCAAATAGTTTTATTTTTTTATTTTAGAGTAGCAAGGTTGTTGAAAATCCCTTTATCTGAAACTTAGCCTTTCATATAGAGTAGCCTAGTAGATTACCTGACTGACTCGACATTCGTGTTTCTAACACTGTACCATTGACATTATACGCTCTTAGCGTCTCCTCGTCATTTCTATGCCATAAACAGCGGATTTAATAAACCATCACTCAATTGAAATACCAGACATGAACGCAACTTTGTCCGAGAAATTCAATGTAGTTATGATGAACGTTGTTGGACTAGATTCCGCGGAGCCTCAAAGACTCCTTGGTCGCTTCCGGAAAATAGGATCAAAGGACAAAGCAATGCATGATAGGAAACACTGGTAGGATCCATTTGAACAGGAAGGGAGATTTAATAGACCAAACAAATAAATTCTTAAAAATAGATTAGGACTAAAATGGCCTTAGCTTAAGATAAAAGGCCTCCGGGAAAAAGTGGCCTGTGCTGTAGGATTTGACACGGAGAGGGGCTTCGTGAGGAAAGGAGATTCTCTCGACAGAACTAGTCAGTTTTGTAATTGTTATGGGGATGGTATATTTTTTGTGCACAAAATTAAAGCTCTAGACGAAGAGAGATGATTGCGACGCGAATATTCCACGATTTGCTCACAGCGCTCGTGTCATTTAGTTACAATACAATTGGTAAAATAAACAAATTTAAAAAGTCGGATACAATTGCAAACATCCTCCGAAATTAAAATAAGCGGACGAATGCCAGAGCCAAGGAATCACAGCAGCCATACATCCGAGAAGCATACAATACGGCAATGAACATTGAACGCACACCCCAAGCCCATCCCTGCTTTCACCTGACACACGGTGGGCGGCCTGTGATGGAGGGGAGGGGCGGAGCCACCTGTCCTCCCGACCTGCCCTTATCGCGCCTCGCTCCCATTGGCCTGCTCGACTCTGCAGGTCGAGCGCGCGTGCCCACCTGCGCCGATAACCGCCCACATTTGGCCCGGGTTTTATCGGTGAGCAGGTGCCCCCCTCCTGCTGCTTCCTTTCTTCCTATTCTCGCAACCCCTGCCTTACGCTCAGCTCACCGCGGCGATTTTAACGCCAGGTCGTGGTTTCTCCCCCCACCCACCAATGGAACACACCTTTCCACCAGGTCGCCTGATTTGACGCCAGGAGCGCGCCTAGACCTGACCAATGTAGGCGGGAGGCGAAGAGAGACCCGTGATTGAAATTATTCTTTCCCTCGTGCCTCGCCGGGAAAATAACCAAGGATTAGTGGCAAAAGCACGTAATGTAAAATAGTTGTGCCCAGCGAATTAGTGGGGCTAAAATCTCGACAAAACCGGCGATTACAGAAGAGAAAAAAGTCCGGCAGGGATGCATAGAAAGAGGCTGAATACTTGTCTAATTCAAGACTGAAGATGCACCTGAGAACAGGAGGTCAGTAAATGGATGAAGCTAAGATTCAGAATCCCCTCCCCAGATTTTCATTTTAGCGTTTCGAAATTTTATAATCAAGTTAACAAGAGAAACGTGGAGAACATGAGCGGCCCTCAAACAGCGTAAAATGTGGGAAAATAATGAAATTGGAACATTTTACAAACTTTTCTTTAATACGATTCAAAACCGTAGATACATGGCAACTGGATTCTTCGCGCTATGGGTTTTCATTATTTCCAAGCATTGAATCATTTTTAAGACATCCCGGAATTCTTTCGCCAACTTAATATGACCGCTAGGTTATCCCATTACATTTCCTATTCCACCAATTCAATCCAATCAATTTAATTATATTTTCTGGGAGTTACTGCAGTCCCCCGCGGGAATGTCAAGAGGCCGGGAGTTCGCGGAGCACTGCTTTTAAACCTCTGCAAAATCCCGTCGGATGAAACTGCAGAATGCAGACGGTCCTGGCGAGATATTCCGAAATTGCATTTGCTCATCGCACGCGTATAACGGTAGGTACCACACAGATTGATTTCAAGGTAATGGATGCATAAAAAAAAGACTCACTGTTGAAGAAGTTCCAGCAGGCAATTGGATAATAATGAGCAGCAGCAGCTGCAGCCGCCGCCACGTTGAATTGATACGCCGGGTCTTTCCACATTTCGAAAATGCGTGTTTTCCGCCGACTTTCTCGAACCAGTATTCAAAAATTCTCGCGACGAATTCAGGAAAAAGCAAGCTCCAAATTTGACTTTCCCCTCCCCGAAATGAGCTCAACAAGAAGATCAGAACCGCATTTCATTCAAGAAGTCTGATCTGCGAAAAATTAGACTGAATTAATGCGACGGTTGCTTCAATCCTTCAGGGTTTAATGAGAGTGTTCGGAAATTGCCCGGCACATGAAAAAAAAGGAGTTCGTACCTGACTTCAATACAGAACAGTATACGACTTCCTTTATCCGCCATTGGATAGGAACGTTCGAAAATTCGCCGATAAGAAAATTTGCGTTATTATGAATGTAAGGCAGGGAAGAAAAAGAGAACAATCGGGTAATAAAAATAAAATGTCGAATTTGATTCAATTTTGAAAAAACCAGGGATTGAATTTCGATTTCCGCAATACATGCTTCACGAAAAAGAACAGTAAAATACTTCTCTGAAAATTTCAACGGCAACTTTTGCTTTTCGTCGCTCGAGGATTCTAATGTATGTATAGACTGTACAAGGATCTTTTACACAATTTTCATATTTAACAAAAAGAAAAGAGCAATTTTCAAACCAAATACTGTACACGTGAGGATAGTTATTTTCCCGGGGGAAATAGGATTCCTTTATTATTGCTACCACTCTCACTAAATCATAAAACGGACGTTCTTAATATTGGTGCAAACGTCGTTTCGGTTGGATTGCGTCGGACGCGGAGAAAATTCAACGGATCACACTGATTTCAAGTGATTACAAAAAAAAAAAAAAAACTGCCACAACAGCTTAGACGATGTATCCACTGCTCAGGGCGAGAGGGAACGCGAGGAGGTGCAACCCGTGCAACGAGCAGGGAAGATGTGACACGGGCACGGATCCCGACCTAAACCCCAACGCGAGAGACCTCGCAGGGGGTTTTCTCCCGCCACCACTATATGTTTATTTTTTTATTTTTTGCTTCATGTATTTTCCTTTCTGTCTCTCTGTCTCTCTCCTTTCCTTCATCTTCTCCGAACCCCCGTCCTCTTCCTTCATGCCCCCTGACGCCGTCCTGCTTTCCCGGGGGTCGTAATGGCTGTTTCCCCCCGTGTCCTCAGTCCTGTTTTCTCGCGGCCCCCTTTTTAGACATCCATTCCGGGCTGCCTCACTCGAACTTCTTGACTTTCAGATGCCCATTTTGTTGTTTTAATTGCTCGCTATTTTATTAGCACAAGTGTGTTCAAGCGCAAAAAAAAACAAAAAAACAGACGCGGAATTAAGAGCTGAATAAGCCGCCATTATTCGCGAAGAATGTGATTGAGGGATCGAATCAGGACAGTTTCAGGGTTACATGCCGGGAGCGAATCAAGGAAACCAAAAAGTGCCTGATGAAGATAAATTTCTTTGTTTTTTTTTTCGGTTTAAATTTCGTATTTCGGAACTAGAACTCCTGAAGGAAATATTCTTCTTTCTTTAGAATCAACAGTGAATGAATCACACTGGAATTCGCGTAGGATTTTCCTGGAAAAGGTCAAACTGTTACACTTGCTTTTCTCAGGTGCCAAACACTCGTTTGAATCATGAAAGCAATGCCCGTTGATTCAGTTCTGTTTTATCTTCCTTCGAAACATTTTTTTAAATGACTTCTTGTTCATGACTACCCAAAATTGTCACGTTCTTCTTGACACGAATCCTTTTGTACGTACAGGTAACAAAATGGTTATGATAGTGGCGCATTTATCTGTAAAATGCGAAGAAATCCACGCATTAAGAAATCAATCTTCACATGAAAAATCCAGTTGACAAATTCTGGGCATCAAGGTCGTACAGTACTGTATATTGATTCCTGATTTTTTATTTTCGTTGCGTGACGAAATAAAAACGGGTACATGGAAAAAGGCGGATGACATGCTTCGCACAAGGAATAACTTTTGTGACACCAAGCGGATTTTCTCGAGAAACTAATGACAGCTGTTCAAAAAACAATCGACAGAAACAGGTCTCGGAAATTGACAATGACGTAGCGGTTCTCGTACAGTTGCCAATGAAACGGCCGAAGGACAGTTCGGTGCTAATTATTCCTTCCTGTCGCTAATCTCCTAAAAGTTTCAACAATGAAGAAAGTTGCAGAATGACATTCTTGCTTGGATAATCCCGGTCACGAAACACACGCAAAAAAAAAGACCCCTCGGATCAGCAATCGCCATTCATTCTCTTTCCGTTTCCCGTAAACAAAGGGAAAAAAATGTGCTTGACATCACGTGCTAGGCGGAAAATTCGTTCTTCCGGGTGTTCCTTTCTTATGTATTTATCCATTCATTTTCCCCTACTCTTCGCGAGAATTTCAGGGAGAGCAAAGAAGAGAAGTGCCAAAAAAAAATGTGCCTCACTTCGGACAACACAATCGGTCGAAATCCCTGAGATCCAAACCGAATTTTGCCAAGTTTCTTCTGGGAATGCCTCCCAAGTGCGAAAACAACACAGGAAAATTCCCGAACCCGCCGTAATTGAATCCAAGCCCGGTCGAAATTCCCCCAAGGCTGAAAAAGTTCCCGACAGCGAAATCTAACGAAATTCCTCTCGAGGTTTCCGGATGGCCAATGAATCAAAACCTTGTCGACGAAAGCGGGTCATCCGAAGCAAACAATTTTCCAATCCGTAGATTCGATTTTTCACCATCAAAAAGGTCCACAGTCTTCAATTTCTTCATGAAAATGTGAAACTAACGGAAGACGAACTAAATATATAAACACGTAATCCGTAAATAATGACTATCAAAATCCGCTTCATCTCGAAATTCCCGG